GTCCATCATAGACTTTGTATGTAAACCTGACGCTCCTGATGCTGAAATCACGTTTGGTGTGAACGCACCATTAGAGGTGCTTGTATACTTTTTGACCCTGTGGAAATTAGTGAGAACTGAAACCAAATTCAGAAAAGCTTTACATGCTTTTCTGAAGAAATGGTTTAAATAAATGAAAGAAATGGCTCGAACTGTAATGACATTCKTGCTGATGTTGTATAACTTTGTCAATGACATTTACTCACAAAGGCATACATTTGAACTAAAATGTGTATTTTATATAGACACTGCATATGTTAAAGGAAAAACTACAGTCCTAAGACAACTCAGTGTCAATATGATGTGATTTGGTTCACCTGAGGGATTCCTGCGGACACCTCGTGCTCCACTCGCCTCTGAATGTCCTCCAGCTGGTCCTTCAGCAGAGTCAGGTCCTTCAGCTGTCTCAGTGGATCCTAAAAACAGGAGGTTACAGGAGGGGAATGTCAGACATGTTAAAACCTGTTTTCGGCTTCTCCTTTCTGGACTCGAACTCGCAGCTTATGGATCTCCAAGCACCGAGCAATCACCTTTACATAAAATATAACTAACRAGGAGAAATACAACCTAAAGTTTAACGAAGCATGACTTAGTAATGAGTTTATCGCGCGCATGATTAGTACATTAGTTTTTTTCCCCTCCGAACTACGTTCTCGTAGCCGACACGTTCTCATCTCCCTGAGACCGAAGAGTTGTTGTTGTTTTCTTAAAAGAGGTCATGTTTTTAACTATTTCTTTCATCTTACAACAAAGAGTGGTGCTCATAAAGTTGATGTAACCGGTTAAAGCAGACTCGCTCACCTTGTCATTCGCCATTGTTGCCTCATAGCGTCGATCAGGGTTCGARTTGTAGGACTGATCGATTAGTTTCACCTGGAGTGTTGCGCTGCGTTCAAAGTACCTCGGAAACCGAAACTCCTATAATTTTACACTAGCCCAAGTGGTCAATTGTAAACCCTCTTATATTTTAGAAATGTAGCCGAGCAGTAGGTCTACATTTAAAATTTGACTCAAATATGACTAAAAACATTGTTAAAGTTACAAACCTTTACTTGATATTAAATATTTTTAGACGTAATAGTTGTCAAAGCAATAATTTGTCTGGATTTTGCCAGATGGCCTTATGATTTGTTAATTGTGCCCAATTAACTCTATCAAAGGCAATACGCATTGATAATATACAGTATTTGTCTGTATGCATTCAGCTGTAACCATCTTTTAATAAAATATGCATCACTGTTTTCTTATGTGGGATTCTCAGTAAAACTAAGACTAAAAAACAAAACAAAACATGGCGTTCACATTTAGCTACTGAGCATGAACGTTTTCCACTAATCAGGGACCGAAACAACCCACCTTTGCAAAGGACACACACACACACACACACACACACACACACACACACACACACACACACACACACACACACACACACACACACACACACACACACACACACACACACACACACACACACACCTCAAACAGATAGCTGAAGGTTTGTTTCAGATCAATAAAGTTTTTTTTTATTTTTCATTCTGTCACTTAAATACATTCAGGCCTTATGACATGGACAACAAACAATGCATTTTTTTGAGTGAGATTTGTATTTCTAAATGAGTGGATTTACATCATGGCTCTCTGTTGGCTTAAAGAGGAAATAAAACTGAAACAAGTTAATTTCCTCCGGTAGTAAACCAATAAACACCAGCAGGTCAGGTTTTTCCGTTCTCCTCCGAGGCTCATTAGTAACAGGTCAGACTGCAGGATATTCAGAACATGTTTTGAAGATGTCTGTCTGTTTTTATTCATTGACTTATTTTTTCTCACCTAKATTTCTTTTCAGGTCTACCAAATATTATAAAAACCTATAGAATTCTGTCTTATCCAGATGTTTCTGAACTGTCAGCATCTATTTATCGTGATTGTAGCTTTCTTTTCTTTTTTTTCTCTTTCCTTATTTTGTTTTGATCAAAGCAAATGCTTTGTCAGTTACTATGTGACGTGTGCTGATGACCACTTGACCAGGTCACCCTWGTAAAAGAGATCTCAARGGGTTCTACCTGGTTAAATAAAGCTGATTGTGAAAGACAAGCAGAAAAAACATCTGACAGCAGCTGAGCAGAGAATGGGTGTATCTGACTGGTCTGATGCTGATTCATATTTCTTATGGTGAGATTATTATTTTATGGTCATAATCTGTTCTCATGATCTTCACCTGTTTTAARGTGACATTTTGTTAACTGCTGATTTAAGGAATTAATGACATGTTTATTCACAATGTTGTGTTTTTTTGGAAATAAGCACTCGGTAAATTTAATAAACTCTAAAGACAGATTTAGGTTATTTTTTATCATATCAGTAAAGCATGTTCAGRTCAGTATTAGCTATGATTGCAGTTTGTGATCAGTGTTTAACTTAATTTTACTATTTGTTAGAATATCTACGTAATTATTATAAAAAAATAAAACATCTTCAAGCCAATGCAAATATGAAAGCAAAACAAAATTTCACATATTATCAGTCTCATCATTTGGACAATTACTTCATAATTTCGGACAATAAATTAAAACCTAAATATTATTTTGTATTCTGCATCAAAGTAGACTCTATAAAACTCTACAAAAGATGAAGATCRATCAGAGTACTTCGACATGATTTTATGAGCTGTTTGTACAAAAATAAAAGGAGAGATTTCAGATTCAATAAGAACTGTGAACATCACGGTCTTGTACAGCAGACCTATGAAATTGAAACAGCTGAACACATCCTGGAGAGAAAAAAATCCTATTTGTTGAACATCTTTTGCTTTAAGCACTTCATTTTAGCTGCTTAGATGCTTGTTTGCAAATCCACAGTTTAACCTTATTACTATTCATTCAGGTGCAGTAACTTCCTGTGATGGCAGACAGGATGGAGCTCAGTGTTATGGAGCTTTGGGAGGAACTGTGGACATCAGACTGATGGAAAACGCCTCAGAGATATACAGATTCACATGTAAACATGGTGACACAGTGACACTTGTTTGGAGAAGAAAAAGGATTGTGCCAAATATCATAAAGAACAGCTTTTTTTTATTCCCACTAATGGAACATTTAGGCTCCGTAATCTGAGCAGGACTGACATGAGGGAAAATTTACAGGAAAGAGAATTCTGCAGCTGTCTGTTCAACGTAAATCACTTTTTTTAAACCTTATAAATGATACATGTCACAGTCAGCAAGCACAGTTGTTCCTACGTTTCTCAAAATAAGTTAAAAAATTACAATTTATACTGAAAATRTGTGTATTTCTGTCCAGCTGGTCTCTCAGTGTTTGTCTCAGGGACAGATGGAGGTGTCCTGCTCCTCTGAGGGAGGGGACAGTCCTCAGTACAYCTGGACTCTGGATGGACACACACTGACAGACTCTGAGCTGCTCTCTGGAAACAAAGAGACAAACATCATCYTTCTGAGACAAACRGTCTCAGGACGTCTGATCTGCTCAGTCAGGAATCATGTCAGTRATTTGTCCAAWGAYTTACAGCTGGATCABCCTGTGGCYTCTGACTGTGGTGAGTGAAAACAGGAGGAAAAGTATCTCTGATCTTTGTGAGGATGATGGTAATGATGACTGTTTTTCCTTAGGTTTTATTTTCATTGACTGCTCTTCCAATGGGACACGCATATCTGAGTGGGTGTTTAAAGCCAACAACACTCTGTGTGTTGAACCTACAATAACACCTACAACAGCTCCACACAGTACTGTGGGTAAGGAGACTGAGTTACACAAACCCCAGTGCTAAAACACAAATACATCAGTAGGTGAAAACTTAATATGAAGCAGTGAATTTATCAGTTTTTTTTCTCATCATAAAATCATACACAGAGTTTGCTAAGTTAAAATTCATTTTTCCCCTTTCTTTAATTTTGAAACAGAACAGTGGCTACTTATAGTCGGTGTCGTCTCAGCACTTGTATTTTTCGTAGTTGTCATCTGTGGCAGGAGGAAACAACAAACCAACACAGGTAATGTTTATTTGCTTATTCATTAGAATCTCTTTTAGTTTCCACCGAAGTGGTTACTGATCTTCCTGTGGTCCCACTGATAAAACACTTCAATATCCGTACAACACGTAAAACCGTTTTGACACTGGCTTATAATATACACAAGATCAGTCAAACTTAACAATTTACAAAATAACATACGACCTAGATAAAACAACAACAAAAGCAAAACAAGAAATGTCATTCTGCCTCACTGCTTGCTTCTTTCTTTCCTCACATAAAAATATAAGTTCTTGCACCTGTTTGTGTCGCCTGTTCCTCTTCTCTGCAGCGGAGGACGATGACCGCGAGCTGATGACCTACAGCCATGTCAGGGTCGTGCAGCAGAGGAGGAGGCGAGTGGAGCAGAAGGTGGAGGAGGAGGGGGTGGACTACGGACAGGTCAAATTCTCAAAGCCGTCTGAAGCGGCGGCAGATGATAGCGTGCACACAAACGTCCAAAAGGGAAGGTGATCTGGAGTAAAATGTAGAAATAAAACAGATTTAATTACATTACACATTTCATAACTGCAGCTTCTGTTCACCAATGTAAAAAAAATCACATTTTCCTCTGATTCAGAATAAATAACAGCTTAATAAATGCGATGAATGTCACTATATTTATACGATGACTGGTGTGGCTTCAAGTTGAGATAGCTAAAATCTGTTTGCTTGCATTCACTTGAATTCAAACATAATCAGTTAGTAAAGAAACATGATAAAAGTGTGAACTTTGTTGTTTGTCACAGCTTAGTTTTTCTAAAACTTCACCAGATGAACTACATACATCGCCTGTTAATAGCTGGCACAATTATGTTTGTAAAACTTGTTCTTTTCTCTTGACTCTTATTGTTTTAATAACAGAACAACCATTAGAACCTCATTAACATCATGAAGGGGAAAGAGGAGAAGCAGAAGTGGAACCYATATAATTTGTATAATAACTTTAACCTTTTCAAAATATTACCCTAGTGCAGTCATTTTGAAACTGTGAGCAGCTAAAATATAATTTAAGTTGCTTGCTCACACATGCCTTTTCCTTTACAGACATAAAAGAAGAACTGAAAGGTTCAGTTCTCTGCTGAAGAAAGAACAAGACTGAACAGCCTGTCAGAAAATATTTAGCGTATCAAGCTTTGTGTGGTTTCCACTTCAGATTTGTTACAGATCAGGGATGAAAGTGTAACAGCATTTATGTGCTTATTTTAGAGTCAACACTTCAGGATTTGAGTCATTTCTGGTACAGATATTAAGTCGAAAATAAAATGTATCTACAAAGTCAATAAAAGTTATTTGAATGAACTTCCGCTAATTAACAAATGATTRATACTTTTGAAGATAAAGCTGTTTTTAAAATTTAGGCTAAATTATTTGGTGAAAAAGTGACCTTAACTATTTGCTTTTTGTGCTGTTTACTGACCCACAGATCCATGTTCCTTATTATTGTTATTATTATTAGTTTGAGATTAAACTGATTAAGGTTTCAAAGTCTGAATTGTAGTTGTACATGCACTTATTATTCAGTAGAGAAATTAAAATGATATATTCATGTTTTTTTTTTCCAAGTTCAGTTTTATTCCACATTTCAACTGGACTTTTACGTTCCACTATTATGGCAATGGTGAATCTAAACCAGCGGCGCCCAAACATTTTCCCTGAGAGGGCCAAAATGAAAATCTATCCAGGGCTGTGGGCCAAATGCAGTAATATAATACATGAAATACGAATACTTTTAAAGTAAAGTCCTTTATTTTTAGCGATTATGCTATGCAATGTCCTTCTTTTGTGTGCGCTTGGATAAAGTCTGCCAGAGCAAAGGCTCATGGGACATATCATAAATTGATAAAATATGAGTTTTTGTGGCC